TTTCCATCCTCCTTCATCCTTCTCTCTGCCATAGAAGGTGGACTTACATGTTGTTATTAAGAGCACCACTCTTCTCTGGCTTTTGTTTGGGTTTGGCCAGTGGGGAGGCTGGACAAGTGGATGGAGGAAAGAGGGTGTGTGAGATCAGAGTACTTATTCCTCGAGATCTTTTCTGAAAAGCTGCCTGAGGCTGGGTTGTGTCTCTTGTCTACAGGTCATCTTTCCTCTCAAGAACACCCTGCTTCCAATTTTTCATCATTCCTTTGATCTGGCATCCACAGGCCTGAGGTTGGGAACAGCTCCATCCTTGTTACTAGCTCTGGGTTCCTGCTCAATCCCTTGCAGTTCATCTTTGCTCCCCCAATATCACTGTAAACAAAACCTCTTCAAAGGTTCCACCTGTTTGTTGTTGGGACTCAGGTACTGAAGGAGGAAATGAGCAAAGAGATGAATCCTGTGGTAGATGCTTTGGGGAGCTGGGGAGAGAAAACAGGGGCAAATAACTGTGAACATTGCATATAAACTCTCTCAAGTTTATAATGTTAATATTTTAAAGTGTTGGAGTTTTGTGGTAACCTGTTCAACTATCGTTTATGTTTACTGAACAGCATAAACATTTGGAGGTATAAGGGACACACCAGGTAAAGAGGGGAGAGAAGTGAAGAGAGATTAGGTGAGTGGGTGTGGGATATAAGAGTCGTCATAATTGTTCACCGTGTAACCAGTGCTGTAACTAAGAGTGATGTCTTGAGAAAGGTAGACCCAGCTAAATGCCAGCATCAGCACTGACCCAGGGACGGTTACACAAGCAGATTCACAGGGCAGAAAAGCCTCCTGGTACAGTTTTGAAGATTCTACCAATTTATAAATAATCAAACCAAGGTATCATTATAAATTCCAACCATCTAAATTGTATAATCTTGATATAATTATAATATGATTTTTACAGACTCTACAGGATTATATAGAAATGCTCTGGAAGAATGGAACATATTTGTCATAAAACAAAAACATTCCATCCCTAAATCAAATGGACAACAGCTGTCTGGTCTTTGCAAGGAACAGTCTCTTTTGTCCTAAGATTAGCAGGTCTGCAGAAGAAAGAAAAGTATTAAGTATCATTATCAGTTCAAATCATCAGTATTTTCTGTAATGAGTTAGGCCAACCACATTCAGGAATTACCATGAAAACACTCAGCTTTCTAGGTGAATTATTGCTGAATTAATGTTAACCCCTGGGCTAAGTACATAGGGAATATTTTTTAAAAGTTGTTAATGTAAGGAGATATGCTACTGATCTTTTAATCTGATCACATCTTGCAAGAGTTATTTGCCCTGGGGTCTGAGCTACATTGTAATAAAATCAAAGGACATAAAAACTGTGGCAGGAACAGTACTGAAATTGGAGAAGCAGCATTATGAATAGCAACAAGCAAGGAGATGCATATGTAAGAGGGTAACTGGAGTCAATATAACCACTGTTCTTCCATGATTTAGGATAAATAGATAGTTATGGCTCATCTGCTAAGTGATCTACTGGGTAGATATTTATGGATTATTATACAGTCTATTACTGAGGATCAGCCTGGTTAAAAACAAATAGAGAAGAGAGCAAATGGTACAGACAGGCTTTTAGTAAGGCCATCATTTGTAATATTTCTCAGGAAAAATCTCTTTCAGAAATTCCTGAGCATAGCTAATGTGCCATAGAAGGACTCTTCATTTTAGAAGTGCGTAAATCCGCACAAATTGCTATAATAAGGATTCATCCCATAGCCCTTTTGGCATAAATGCACATCTGGTCTCTGTTTGTAATGAAATCAACTCAAAGCCCCACAGTGCATTAATAATAAAAATGTTCAACATAGTGCAACCAAATAAGCCCTGCAAATTTGAGTCTGCAAGGTTCTGTCACACATGTGTATACTTCTAACACTGATAAATGATTAGGTCACAGAACATTTATCAAATGGATGGATTCCAAAGGTAGAACTTTTTTGGGGATAATTATTATTTCCACAGGAAAATCCACTTGTATGTATGCTAGAAGTTTTTACTTGCTTGATTTATAATACCTCTTGCACTTTTATATCTATAGTTCACAATACCATAAAATTTTTATTAATAATAAAATTATTGTAAGCAATACTGTCTGGCTTAGAGGAAGTACATGGATTTACCCTTTAAGAATAACAAAATTCTAGGATTAGCTCATAGCACATTAGGGTTGTCATTAAACCTTAAATTAAATTAAAGTAGGAGAATTTTTTTCCACATTAATTTAAAAAAATTGACTATTTTGTTTTCAGCAGTTATAATTAACAGAGGATCTAGATTTGGCAAATCCTTCCTTGTCAGTCATACGATTTACCTTCTGTGTTATATGGTTGACCCAAGGAGAAGAACAGTTGCTAAGATCTGGTCCTTGAGGATCCCAGATTCCAGCAGGAGCCAGGCACAGATATGTTGATACTCCTAAAATAATGAGAGAAATAGGTCTGCTTCAAATATTCAAACCATCTTTCTTACAATGACTTTATATCCATGAGATGTTTAAATATGAGCAAAGGTAAGAATGTAATCATTACACTGTTATAATGTCTATTAAAACACCATGTACAGTGCCTAGCTAGCAACAGGCATTAGAGAAATAAACTACAACAAACAAAAATTCAATTTTTGGGGGTGGGGGGAGGGAGAGGTAATTAGGTTCATTTGTTTATGTTTTTTAAATGGAAGTACCAGGGATTGAATCTAGGACCTTGCGCACGCTAACCATGTGCTCTACCACTGGGCTATAACCACCTCCCCAACAAATATATTTTTAAAGCACTTGCTGGCAACTACACCAGGTACAGGGAATAATTTCATTAATCAGATGGATGTGGTACCTGCCTCCATGGGGCTTACTGCTTGAGTTTTCAGAGGCAAGGTAGCAGCTGAGTCTTAAAGGAATCAGTTTGCTGTCTTTGGGAATCTTCGAGTGTTTTGAACTGAGGTCTGCTGGGTAGGGGAGTTGTATTTAATGGAGTTGGAAAGGCCACCAGAGCCAGATCATGAACGCCCTTGTCTGTCATCTGCTGGTGCTGGAAAATCAACGATGACCATTAAGCAGAGGAGACCAATGGGCTGATTTCGGTTTTAGAAAGAGAACTGTGGCAGCAGCACGGAAGATGGATTTTAGGGAGTGATGCAGAGGTTGTGTGGAAGCTATTGTAATAATTCAAGTGAGAAGACACTGTGTGGGCCTGAACAGGGGCACAGCAGAGGGGACAGAGAAAGGGTAAAAATAAGACAGCAGTGTATGCCCAGTCACCTGGGAAGGAGGGCCTCAGAAGGTTTCCTTCAAATTTCTTTCCTAATATTCATGGGACAGTAATATTTTGTAGTGCTTCGTAGTTTGCAAACTGTCTTCAAATCAAGTATTTCACTAACCTTCACAACAAACAGCTGAAGAAGGGGGGATGTTACCATTTCTCTTTCAGAGATGAGGATACTGAGGTCCAGAACTAAGGGGACAGTGCTGAGAGAAGTTTCAACTGTTTTCTAATTTCAATACCACAGAAAACTTCAGAACTAAACACTACACCCCTTCATAAAGGGAAGGAAGATTTCAGAATATTTTTGAACACTTTGCTGAAAAACAAAATGCACTTTTATAAAAATCAATATATTTTCTGGTCTTCCCACCACTTTGCAGACCGTGGCATTCAGAAGGACATATCCATATTGAAACTTTTTTAAGACAACTGGTTTTTTAAAAAAAATATATATTTTTTTTGGAGGGGGAGAAGGGAATTAGATTTATTTATTGGATGGAGGTACTGAGGATTGAACCCTGGACCTTGTGCATGCTAGGTATGTGCTCTACCACTGAGCTATACCCTCCCCCTACGACAAACCTGTTGAAGTAACCAAATCAGTTATTCCCAAAGACACAGTCCCTAACAATACTAGTACAGTGACATCTATGTGCATTTATTTCATTTACACATTTTATGGAATAATGCAAATTTTATGCAGGGTATCAAGTATTAGTTTTATGAAGATCAGTACAGGTAACAATAAGAAATCAAACTATTTCTGGCTTAAGATACTAAATAGTAATATGGGGATTTATCCCTTTGGGGATATTATGAATCACATCAATTGAAAAAAAAAAGGGTGGGGTGGGGGGAGAGCTATCTAGTTCTTGACTATCCCCTAGAGAAAACAATGCAGGACTGTTCTCTCTAGTGGATGGTGTGTAAGTGGAGGTTGGCTCCCACCAGCACCATCCCTGACAAAGTCAAGAGCCTTTGACTAATAAAAAACAGCTATGATGGCTTGGAAAAAAATAGATAGTCAAATCTTCTCTTTCGTTAAATGTTGGATAGCTTCAATAATCATCTTCTAATACAGAAGTCCTTGACCTAATTTTCTGCAATAAACATTTGACAATTGGAGACAAACACGAGAACTAGCTCCCAGCAATCCAGTGATTCACTCTGGGCTGTTGCACAGAAGAGCTGGCTCTCTGGAGTTTCTGGGACATTCACAGCTTCACTGTAACTCAACTCAGAGACCTGACACTATCTCACAGGTATTCCTACCAAATTCTCACCTGTGACTTCTTCAGATTGCTTTCTCAAACTCTGAAAATGCATTACTTCACATTCAGTTCAGAATTTAATCAAATGTAAAGAACCAAAATACACTGCAACAACAACAACAACAACAACAACAACAACAACAACAAAATACAAGAAAGGAAGAAAAGAAAGAAAGGAGAAAAGAAAGGAAAACAAAAACAATGCTATAAAAGCAAGCTAACGTAACAGTACAGCTTTAGCTCAGCTCTGTATGAGAGACTTACCTATGGTTCCTGCGGGGCATGGCTGCTTTGCCATCTGTCCTTGACGGGTCTTAAACCACATGATTTCTCGAGCTTCCACAGCCTCACAGCTCTCTTCCAGAGCTGGGATCTGGGATGACGCTGACGGAAGGTGTGTGGTAATGTCGTCAAGCACCTCGACGGCTGGAGATGGGGTGCTGGTACTCCGGTTTCTTCTTCCTGCCACTGATGGGGTGGTACTCCTGCCTGGGCTCCAAGTAGTGGTCCGAAGGGTCGTACTGGTGGTGGTGCTTCCCATGCCAAGAGGTCCTGTGGTAGAGATTTCTGAAATAAAATTCAAAAGAAAACACCTCCATTGCTTGTTCAGAGTAGGACCAAAAGATGTCCTAATACTTCAGAAGCCGTTTTCATCTGACAATTCAAGTAGCCAACATGGGAAAAATAAGCCAATACTAAAATACCAGTGTTACTTGAGTAACAAGACAGCCACTGAGTAATGCTAATGGTAGGCTTGTTTGTGGTTCTTCTCAACTCCAGTCACAGGAAACAAAGTTACAGCACAATTCAACTCTTCAGTAAGCTTCTTAATTCTTCAGGCCTTATGACAATTAGGTGACTAAAACTTAAAACCCTCTCCTTAGGATTTTCAAACTTGGTATAGAAAGAGACAGAGCTGTATACAATATTCTTTCCACATTAAGTATAATGTGAATCTCTACAGATGCAGCATACAGGGGAGAGGCCCCTCCCCCCCAAAAATAGAAATTGAAGTGCTCACAAGCTCAAAAATAAAGAACAATTCTGAGTATAATCTCCTTAACACAAATTAGAGTAGCTTGGTGATTTACTCTGATGCTCTTAGAACTGACCCATCCTATGAAAACTTTCAAACTTAACATTTACCAATGTAAAGTATAAGTTATTTCCAATTAATGTGTTCATAAATTATTTCCTAACTAGATTTTTTTTAGTGGCATTTCTCCCAATGTATTCCAAGTTCCAAATAAAAGTGGTTAGGTTGCTTGACCAGATATTAACAGGTTATTAAATCTACAATGTATCCAAAGGAACGTCCCAACAATACTATAACAAGTCACTGCAGAGAATCCTCTCTCTGGGAAAGTTTATTTATATTCCCACCCTGGGAATGCAAGAGTTCATCAGGCCTCCACATCACATCCGCCGCAGACCTACACTGTAAGATCAGAGACTACTCTTGACCTAACTTACTGGCAATACCTCTAGGGGCACTGGCTCTACTCAGATTCCAAGTAGCTCGGGTTGGAGGAAATGCAGGGAGTCCCGTAATGAGCCTCCTTTTGTCTATCATTCACAGTCTGCTTTACCATGTCATCAACCAGACTCCGCTGCCCCAGAAGAGATGCCAAATCCATCACAGCGTATTTGGTGTATATAAAACAGGATATAGACAGCAAGGGGAAGGGTATGAGTTTTTTGAACATTCATATAATCATTGAAATTGTGGCATTTTTCTGAAGTGTTGCTATTTGCTATATTGTCTTCTTGCTTGTTCCTCTGTTTCCTCGTCCCCTCTTCTTCCTTTTTCTATGTGAATGCAATATTCATAAATACATTTACGTTTACATAAGATGACAAAAGTATCCTCTTTTTCCCCTTCTTTTTCTATATACACCATATTCCCAAATTGCCAAGTCTGGTTGATTCTGTCTCATTGTTAAAATTTTTCTCTATCTCCAAACACCACTATCTATGTTCAGCCCCCTATCATCAGTGAATGAAAACAGTGGCCTTTTAACATTCTTCCTAATAAAAGCTCAATACCAGAGAAAAATGCCAATATTGGTATTTCAATATCTATTGAGACAGATAAAATAAAAATTCAGGATTTATAAAATAAAATAATTGACACTAAGCATTTAACACAATTCAAATATAAAATTTAGCACCATATTTTAAAATATTAGGTGAACTGATTTCTTAAAATTATAAACAGCATAAATGATTCTAATATATATTGTTTGCATATAAAATTAACAGAATGTTCCAAAAAGGAAACATAAAAATAAAGAAAATTTCAGAACTTGAAAATTAAATATTATTTATTAACATTAATTAATATTTAAATAATATATTTTTTATTAATATTAAGCATTAGCCTTTACATAGTGTATGTCAGTAGAGTCATTGCTGGGATATAAACCCATTTTTTTGTGCAGATTTTTCCAGCTGATGGGAAATTATCTTTGATTTCATACTACTCAGTGGAGTAGTAAGGCGATAGTTAAAAGCTATCTCCAAGTATTTCTCTGACTCCTTGAGTTTAAGTAATGCCATCTCTCATTTGTACTTTTGAAGGGAACTTTTTGAATAGCTTAAATTTTTAATGGGGACTGTAAATCTTTTCACTGATAATGAGCTATAGTTTTTGTTTCAAATAAAGCATTTTGAGTTCTTCTTTGTCCTTTAGTTTGATCATGTAAAAATGAAGATTCATAGCACTTAACTGTATTAGTTAAATAATCTCATGGTCAAATTTACTTATTCAAGAAGTTTTTGAAATAGAGTAAAAATTAATTTTAAAATAGAGGCTCCATTTTTAATTGTCTTTCTTCTCTTCTTGAGAATTATATAGGTACTAAAGAATGCTTTCTAAATAAATGCACCTTCCTTTAGTTAGATATTTTATCTAGCATATAACGCTCAGGGAAGAGAAGAGATCTGTAATCATTTTTGTTCTGATAAAACTGCATCATCATGTGTGTGGTCCTAAGATTTGCCCGCCTGTTGTATCAATCACACAAATCATTCACAAGGAACAAAGACATAGTATCACAAGATGTTTGCTTGCTGTGATTCTAGACTTGCCAAGTTTGAATTATGTCTTTTAGCATAGATTTGATACAACATTGTGTTCTATTTAAATGATTCAGATTTCAGATTTTAAAAGACTACAGTATCCCACCAAAATGTATTTAACGATAGCAGCACATAATGAAAATCAATGTTCTTTATTTTTCTCTAAAATTATCCTATTCGAACCATCCTCTACCTTTTGCCAGAGGCATCTCGTAGGGTATAAATTGGAAAGCGTTACTCCCCAGATTAAAATCCTTAAATGGTTTCTATCTGCCCTTCAAACAAAGGCTGGACTCCTTTTCTTCATGCCTAGAGCCCTTATGGGTTTCTTTCTCCAGCTCATTTATAACGCTTTTCCATCTTGTATCTGTACTCTTAAATCACACAAAATTACCAGTAGTTTCCCAACTGCCCCCTGTTCTTTTGGCCTCAGGGTCTTTGCATATGCTGCAGCGGTCCTGCCCCCATTTCTACCTGGTAATTCCTATGTATTCTTTAGGGCTTAGATTGGATGCCATCTCCATCAGGGAACCTTTCCAAATTTAACAAGACAGGGTTATATACTAAAGTGTGTTTTGTCAAGACTATTTCCTCAACTTTTAGCCTTGTTGTCTGACTAAGAGTTAATAAGCTCTCAGCCAAGATAGATGAATATCAGGGATAGGTCAAGGAAGCAAAGGAGAGTCCAGTTGTAAAATTTCACAGAAGATGGAAAAGGATAAATAGAAGGAAACAGCAAATGGGGCAGCTATATGTCTCCACAGTTGATGGGCTGAAAAAGTTATTTCATAAATGCATTTCACTCTACATTAAGAAAATTCAAGGAGATAATTCAAAGAGAAAATAAGCAGGGAGAATATAAAGCCTCCTCTTTCCTCAAATGACCTTATCTCAGAACAATCATACTTAAATTGAATATACTTTTGTGAAGCAATAACACTGATAAAATATTTTTTAAAGTTCAATTTGTTATGAAATACATTACAAGGACTTGGCTTAATACAGGAACACTAATGTTAAGGGTCAGTATAGAACTTATTTCCTTGGATCTGTGCTGCAGAGAGATGTCTACAAGCAGGGTCATATCATTCCATTCGACTTTAAACAGAATAAAAGTCAATTTTAAAAGCTGTCCCTGATCCCCCACCCCTTCCCTTCCATTTATTGCCATGTAGGACTCCCAAGGGCTCTGCTCAATGCTAGCTTTTGGCAGAATAAGCACTACTATTGATAAACGTGTTGTTACCATGCCCAGGAAAGAATCTGTCTTATTGCTAGATACTGTGAAAAAAGATCTGGATTCACTGAAGAGTCAGAGCAACACACGTTGGCCAAGTTCCGGCCTATATCATATGCTATCAAGAGTCCGTCTCTCTCTACTTCCAGGAAGGATCTGACACTTTTCCAGTGCATACTGTTACTGAGTCTTACCTGATGATACACCTAGTTTCATAAAACTATGTGTTTTTAAGTACCTCATATGCTTGAGGTTGTGTATCAGGGAAAGGCTACTATGTAAAAGAAAATAAGTTTGAGTGATTGTTTATATAAAACACTTTAACAAAATTGTGCAATCTTCCTTATATTGTCATTCTTATAGTATTTTTATAAAAGTAACCAAAAAAGCCCTCCATGTTAACATTTTCCCCTCATAATTAACCTTATTTCCAAAAAGAAATTTTTAATTCTCCTGTCCCCTGAAATGTATTGACTATGGCTTATTTCATTGTAATGATTTGATTTATTCTGTTTAATTCTTTTGTTCAGCCTGCCTTGAAAAGAATAAATATTATTTTGAATGTTACTACAGATTATACTCTGTGGAGGACACTAATGGAAAACAGTGAAAATAATGAACATCTGTATAGTGCTTTACATCCTGCAATGTTTTTCCTTATTTCTAGTATTCATTGAATTCTGATTAAAAACTGTATAGAGTAATTATAACTATGAATTCATAACTTTACAAATGAGAAAACATAGGCTCAACTGGTAAGTGAACCATAATCATACAAGTAGTAAGTAAATCAGTGCCCTCTAGTTCCATATTTCATATTTTTCATAATATGCTTTCAAAAGTGGCAGCCTGAATTATTTCAAGCATTCTACAAGTCTTCCATGACGCTTTAAGAATAGACTGAAGGAACTAAAATGATTATAATAAAACATTACTATTCTTGATCCCAAAACATTTATTATTTGGGGTTAACTTTGTTAACGGACTTGTTTTCCCCCAAAATTCATATGCTGAAGCCCTATTCCACATGTAACTATATTTGGAGATAGGCCTTTAAAGAGGTATTAAGATGCAATGAGTTCCTAAGGGTGGGGCCCTAATATACAGAACTGGCATCCTTGTAAGAGCAGAGATTCCAGGGAAACAGGAGCGCAGAGTACAGGCCACATGAGGACACGGTGAGAGAGTGACCATCTTAAATTAAGGAGAGAGGCCTCAGGAAAAACCAATCCCGCTGGTACCGTGATCT